AAAAAAAAAAAAAAAAAAAAAAAAAAAAAAAAAAAAAATCTAGCTCAAAAATAAATTGCAAGGAAGACGGGTGTCAAATGTCCATAGTCCGTGGGGACCCTGGGTCCCGATCCCTATTGTCCAGACTCTTCATTATCAGCCATTGATCCTGGAAATCGACGGCTACTGACTTTTCTCCGAATAGAACGCACGGTCGCTATGGCGGTATGAGGGCCGACCTTCAGTCTGGATACAGCGATGGTGACCGCGCGTTCTATTCGAGGGAAGAAGAGGACGTTAGAAATTGAGCAGGGAGACTGCTGATGTTCGTAGCGGGAGGGGACCGGAGGGGAGGACGCACAGCGATTGGCCCATCGAAGAATCCTCCCCGCTCTTTCGGTCCTGAATCCTGATGCTACCGGCTGACCACTGGCTGGTATCGCCCAGCCCGAGTTCCAGCCCGAGTTCCAGCCTCGGTTGGGTGGAGTCCCCCGCCCGCATGTTGCCTCATCGGAGGCTCGAACTCGGGCTGGCTGGTACGGGAGTCCCCGTAATGCAAAAATGATAAAAAAGAAAAAGAAAAAAAATAAGGGTCTGAAAGGCCGTCCTGTCCAGATTTGGAAGGTAATTGAATTGGTTGGGCTTAAAAGAATTAGCCCTTAGGAAAAAGAAAAAAAAAAGTATGGGTAGGCTTGAATGAATTGGCCTTTTAGAAATTAAAAAAAAAAAGAGGAATCTGGGTAAAAGGATCCGAGCCCTACACTCAGAAGCGACTTAGGCCGAGAGGCGTGAGAGGGGAGAGAGGGGAGAGAGAGAGAGAGGGAGGGAGAGGGAGGGAGAGAGAGAGGAGAGAGAGGCGAGGGAGCCGGTGAGAGAGAGGGAGACAGAGGGGTAGAGAGATGGAGAGAGAGAGAGAGGGGGGGGGCGGCGAGAGGGGGAGGGGGAAAGAAGGGGAGAGGGACAGGGGGGGAGAGGGACAGGGGAAGAGAGGGAGGGAGAGAGGGAGGGAGAAATGGAGGGAGAGAGGGAGGGAGAGAGAGGGGGGAGAAGGAGAGAGGGAGAGAGGGAGAGAGGGAGAGAAGGAGAGAAGGAGAGAGAGAGGGGCAGAGAGAGAGAGAGAGAGGGGCAGAGAGAGAGAGAGAGAGAGAGAGAGAGAGAGAGAGAGAAGACGTGTAAAGCTCTCGGGAATGGAATGGAGGTAAGCCATAGAGCTACTAATCTTTCGTTTTCTTATTTTCATAATCCCTTTTCTCGACTTTAAAAGTAAGAATTTGATCAAATAAATTAAATGAACAAAGACTCGTAATAGGAAAAATGCATCTCATGAGCCGGAAAGGTGACAACGAGGTAACGCGACGGAGGCAAATCGAGAAAGAGGAGCGGGCCGAGAGAGAAAGAGAGAGAGAGAGAGTGAACCTCACATCGCCATGTCTCTCCCCACAGCACAACTCCCCCAACCCCTTCCCCCCGTCCCACACCCACACACACAATCTCCTGATGATTCAGTGAAATTTCGAAGAAAAAGTCTGTAACAGTCATGCTTTTCTGTGGAGTATACCGACGATGACAACACACTGCGCGCCGGGCGAAGGAACAGACAGCCATCGTTGCCAGCTTCTCTTTCCCAACCACATCTCTCTCTCTCTCTCTCTCTCTCTCTCTCTCTCTCTCTCTCTCTCTCTCTCTCTCTCTCTCTCTCTCTCACACACACACACACACACACACACACACA